AGTCAGCACTGTATATAACTTTGCTGGGCAATTGAATGAATTTGCAAATATATATGCACAAAGAACGTTGCTACGCTACTAATATCATCTAAAATGCCAAAGCTCTTGTTTAAAACTTATTTTTTCAAAATTACTTTTTCTTTACACTTATTTTTAATCACACATTTCGAAAATATATATATATTTTTTTCACATTTTTCGGTGATTTTTCCTTACTTTTGAACCTTACATTCGTCAAAAGAATCGCTTCACACGATGTCTAAATATTTCACTTGCATTTATGACTTAAATAACTAGGAATACATGTCTATGAATTTTTTTTTATACGTATATTGGACATTGTACTATGAGCCTATTTGGGCACCATTTTTTACTAAGGCCCGTTTGATTCTCATTATTGTAGAATGAGAATGAAAAATATAATCGTTATTGGGCCCCACACAATAGATAGAAATTCAAAATTGATGACTTGATGTGATGGATAACGATTATATTTTTCATTTTTATGAATGAAAAATGAGAAACAAACGGAGGTTAAAAATGTATTTTGGAATAGTAGATTGATGGAGAATGTGTGATTAAAAACTAAGAAAAAAGTTTTGAATTTGCGTGTAATATTATTTTATTCAAGAACTTGTTGTTAAAAAGAAGATAGAAAAAAAATATTTTGGATATAATCAGGATCAAACAAGGGTTATACAATATTGTAATGTAAAAACCAAATTAGATGCTTATACAAATATGAATGGTGGCACTTGTACATATTTTTTTTACATCATGCTTGATATTATCATTGCTGACAATAAATAATTGGTTGATAAAACTTTTATTTTATTTTAAATTGTCCAATGTAATATTACAAAGGTGAAAAACTTTGGTGTGAATCACAATATACAACAAGCATGATTGTAAAAAAAATGAATTAAGATAAGTGAACATAATGCTTGACATAGAGATTGACCGACCTCTCACATTGAATGTGAGTCCCGACCTGAATTAAATAATGCAGACCTCCCCCACATGGTCACGTGTGTGTATTGTGTCATCCCCTATGTCAAACATGATTTTTGTATAGGAAAATTCCAAAAAAAAATTGTGACAACCTATTGTTTGGACATGGCTAGGCTAGGACTTACATTACAGCTACAGCTAATGTTAGTATACCTTTTGGTGGCAGGGACGGCCACGATGGATTACTTTAATTTTCATTGTTTACTTTGGAGGAATCACAGAGAAAGTGTTGAGTCATAGATTAGAAAGACTTTTGATCATCCTATTCTATTCCTCCTCGTAGAAAAAAGCAAGCAATG